ATGGTGTATTTTGTATAGTCAGCAATAAATAGGAGAGAGTAGCAGGCACCTGCGAGAGATGGTATTTTCAGAGCTCTGGCCAGGTGGGTGTGAACCAGTTCAAGCAGAGACAGTATGGCATGGGTTGAGGGTAAATGATTCGGCGTACAGGTTTGCTTGGCAGCAACACAGCTAACACACGTGGAATTAGTGTGACTTCTATCAATAGTAATTTCTGGATGGTCTCAGGCAAGTCATTTAACGTTATCAAAGCTAATATGTCTCCGACGGCGATGCCAGTCGACAAGGATTCCATGCTTGCTAGTCACATTGGCTGGACTGGCTTCGGCATGAGTGGTCTGGAGGAAGTAGGCATTTTGCTCAAGCCTAGTGATGCCAAAGAGCTGCTTTCTATACCTAATGTTAACAGCATTATTGGCAAAGCTAACCACTCTACCTGTCCCCTGAATATGGTGAACAGGGACAAGTCCACTGTTACCCATCTCCAGAACAAACCAAACTTTCTTCAATACTACCCAGTGGACTTTTCTATTGACAGACAGGCTAAGTGGTACATCGCCTTCACCCTCCGCAGTCATACTGGATCTATTTGCAATGTAGATAGAGATGCTAACTGGGGCCATGTTCTGAAACTGAGTTCAGTCAGGGGTCATATGGTGGGTGGTACCAGAATGTAATATCCCTGTCGATTCAGAGGCCTTTGCTGATTTTTCATGCACTGCAGTCCATGCCTTATGGAATCCACTTTCTTCCCCCATAGCAATATTGGCACTCTTGCTCTGCCTAACCGGCAATACTCTCTGAGGACCCCCTCTTCCCTGACCAAAGCCACATAGACTAGTCCCAGGTGGGGGCCTCCTTGCCTGCTACTTTGCCGCATACTTATTTGTCCAATCTCACTTTTCCTTGCAGAAGAAACAGCTACTCTAGTCACTATTAGGACTGGTATACTGTTCCTTTCCTCTACCAAATCCACCACTGACACCTCTCCCCCAACCAGCAAAAAAGGCATTGGTACTCTCAGGGTCATGACCAGGGGCACCTACACCTCTGGTCAACTGTTTGTATTCCAGCGTAAGCTGGTCACATATGGTATCGTATTTGGTGTTATCATAATTGGTGTTGTTCCACACTGAGGTATGGAAGCAGTAGTAGGAGGTCAGCAGCTTCAATAGTAGCACCTACTTTTTTGTTTTTCACATCTTGGGATTCACTGGCGGTATCCAACTGGTGGAACACTTTCTGTAGACTAAAACTATAGTCAACAAGGTTATCATTCTGATACTCTACCTTGGACAACTCGCACAGGAACCAAATCCTAGCCTGGTCCTTATCGGCATTGCACTTGTCCCGCTTTGTCTATAACTCCGTGGAATCTCACTCCTCCACATACAGCTCTTGGTAAGTACTATCCAAAAGCCTGCTCAGCATAGTACCATGAGCATTACTGGCTTTCTGCTCACATAGAATCCTGGCCTCGCCCAACTCTGCCGTAGCCTGTGAGGTACCAGTGACGATGGGCCAGTACCCCTTTTCTGCTAGTATATCCACTACAGCTAATCTCTGCTCTGCGTAATTCACTGCCTAAGAGAGGGGCTTAATCTCCAGAGAGGTGAAAATACTCACCTCCTGACCTGTCTTCCACGTTCTCATGGTAAGAGTAGTGAGATCTGTGGGGGGTAGTATGATGCCAGGAATCTATAACTTATACCACTAGCATTGCACCAATGTAATGCCTTATGTAATCACGGTTAGGTAATTTCTGCAACTCTACCTGACCTCTCTAACACCATTATATTATCATAATAATGAGCTATAAATTATAATCATACATATCAAATGTAAAATTACTGTAAATTTTAAATATATACTCCTATAAAACATAAATCTAGGCTTCTTGTGCTGTACTAACCTGATGGTGAGAGTTGTACCTCTTTTTGACAATGCTTTCATATACAGCTGAAGTATATATGACCTCAGAGTGGTAAGACTCCCTTGTTTGCCTTATCTTAGCCCAATATTTTCAGATAACCTGATACTCGATGAAATTAATTTTATCATGAAAGGCAGGAGAAAATATCACCTCATGCCTCAAATTTAGAATTACTTTTTCTACCTGGCTTTTGTGACTTTTAAAATCAGATTGGGCAGTAAGTAAAGCCTAAGCACAGTAGTTTCTACCATCTAGACATTTAGGATTTACTTTTTTTGACTCCCCAGAAAAAGATACCATAGAACATTGAGTAAGAAATTAAGATCTACTATGTGGCCATAGACCATGCTCTGTGAGGACCAATCTTAAACCCTTTGGTTTATCATTCGGTAAGATGAGAGACTGAATATAGCCCCTAACTGGATGTGTCAAATAAGTAACAAAGATATGATATTCTAACAGGCAGGGTCTCAGGGTCAGGTAGCCCAAGGCAGACCACAACAGGGGCAGGCAAGAGTTTGGGGACAAGGTCTAGGGTCTGGGATACAACCGTGGTAAGTGGTATGAGGTTCGGGGGTCAGGGGTTCAGGGTCAGGATTCAGAGGTTCTGGAGAACTCAAAGTAGAAGAGAGTATAATTCCTAGATACAGGTGTCCGAAGGAGATTACCAGATTGTGTAAAGAAAGTAAAATATAAAGGGGCACACCTCTTTATATATTAAGGCAATCCTCCATGATTACTAATACAAGAGAAAGTTCTTAGTATCACGCGGAGCCTCGATCCTTCTGTCCAGTTCTGCCATATTCTATTGTATGGCAACGTATCCCAATCACTTATACAATAGAAATCCAACTACACAACCAAGGAAACCACAACCAACTTGAATATATGCAACCAAAACTCCTTGCATATTCCATCTCCATAGCCGGATGGCTGTGACAGATATACTCAGTATCATATCTGTCTGAATATAAATTTACAAAGAAAAACTATAGCCTCCTCAAATATCACCCTAACCCTGATTACATATGACATTACATTTGTGCAATGCCCGTGGCACAAGTTATAGATGCCTGGCATCATAGCGGGAGCACAGGAATCCAAGTGCTGATGAGGGAGTAACTAGTGCTGACAGGGTACAACTAGTGCTTACAGGATGCCACTGTAAGGAGCGAAGTACAGGAGCCACAGACTAAATGCAAAAATTAGGGTAACAGAACCAGGATTTAGTAGAGATTTTTCACAGGAGGTAGGACATTAAGAGTGGAAGTAGGATGTATAGTCTCGACAGAGAGGGCTTGGTGAAACTGCACCAGTATGGGCAGCAATTGTGAAGGCATTTGTATTTGCTAGTGGATACTCGATGCAGACTAGACGATCATGTAGTGTAAGGTAGGGCTCATATCCTTTTGAATGACCGGTGGAACCAGTGGTCCCAATACCAAACAAACAGCCATTGGAGCAACGGAGCAATTAGAAGCCAGCCAAGTAGCAGGGTATGAAATAAAACACTAAGCATTAGGACATAAATAGGGATTGTACAAGACTGAGAAAAAAACTTTTCTTTCACTCTCACGGATTCCCTAACAATCGCATGCTCTTCTAACTAATGGTAAACATGGAAGAATGCATTAGCCGCAGGTGATGCCTGACAAACCACGATCTCCCTCTCACCTCTCACAAGTAAGTTCTCCACTTCTCTCTCTCCAGCAAACACGCAAACTAACAAAAGGAAAGACAAACTGATGCCTCCCCGCCTACTAGTAAGTCCCCGTATCTGCCAAGCAACCAAGAAAGAACTAATAAAGGAAAGACGACAACTTGCGCTTCTACTGTGTCATTCCAGGGTTCTCTTGCCCCGCACCTTTCATGTGCTCTTCCTGTGGACCTCTACCCCGCACTCTCCTATGCGCTCTCTTATCCTCCAGCATGCTTCCTGTGGTCCTCCACTATGTGGTCTTCCAGTGCGCCTTCTGGCCTTCTTCTAGCGGCCCTGTACCACACTGGTCCCATGGCCTGCCGCGCACTCTTGCCAACGTATGATATCTCCTGTGAGGTATCCGAGTTCTCCACCACTGCTCTCTATCCCCCGCACTCTGCTCTGTGCTCAGGCAGCGCTCTTCCCAAAAACCCTAACCAATACAGAAACTAACTAGCGGGCAAGCAGACAAACCATCGCATGGACAAGTAAGCAAACAATAGGGGAAGGGAAGGTGGGGGAATGGGGGGTACGACATGGGGAAGAGGGAGAGGGGGGGAAAGCATATGAGGGGTACCGGGCAGGTCTGGGGAGCAGCTTTTGGACTTCCAACATACTTGTCTAGCAGCTCAGGCTCCTCAAAACTACCAGTAGTCAGTAGATATTGTCAGTACGCATTTCCAGCAACCATCTGCCCATCACAATAGAAAGGTGTCTTTGCTAGTAGGCTATCTCCTGGCAACTTTCAACTTTGGGTAGACTCATGTGGGGTCATCTTTGTCCCCAGCCATAAGGCTGTCAGACAGCAAGCCTGAGGCATCTCAAAGTCTCAGGATTGTTGCAAAGCCCAGATAGACAACAGGAAGATATTAAGAACTATGCTTGCATGACTTGCTTGTCTGTTGGACCTGGAAATAAACTTTCTCTTAGTCTTAAGTTGAATGTACCAATTAGTCCAAAACAATACACACAGAGGCTAAGACAGGATTGGTATGGAAACTGGCGTCAGAGTTTGTAGGTAACCCTGCAGGCATGTGAACACCACTGAAACTGGGGAGGAGTGAATAGTGAGGCAGATGGTGAGGAATATAGTACCTGATCCTATGTACTTTGTTCCTCACCAGCAGAGTGTACTAGCTGGCTGGTGTTTGTATATTATAATGTACAGTATGCAAACCCAATAATTTATGTTAGAGGAATTTGATAAAAATAATTTCTGGATATCAAAGGACGCCAATAAGTGTAATGGAATGCAGTTTATGAAGTAAATCATTGACAGGTTCCATGTTACTAAATCCCAATATGTTCATGCATTCACCATATCACAAAATTGATAGAACAAATCAATGAACAGTAGTACTAAGACAATTGAGGGGAGAGGTAGATTTATTGCATATAACCATCTAGATAAGCGGGAGAGTGGGATCTCATTGGTAGTGATAAAAATACTACCTTTGGCAGGAGGCAATCAGAAACAAAAAGTCTATAACACAAAGAAATAAGAGAAGATTTCAGCCATGGCAAAGGGAGAGGAGCAATCTACAATTAGAAGTCCAGTAGCCGGCTGTAGAAATAGAGTAGAGGCCAGCTAGGCAGGACGCTTGCCACAAGCTAAGATCTCTCGTTTAAAGGCAGTTCGTAAATTTTGAATTGGTAGTAATAGGTGTGTTTCTGGGTCCAGGTCCATAGGGCAAGAACCAGCAAAAAGCTCATCCACAGTAATGAAGGGATCAACTTCCACAGCTTCTGGGACGGGAAAGATAGACTGTATAGCAAACTATGTATTAGATAGTAAAAGCAATAAGGTAGACGGAAGGGGTTCCAACAATTTTTCTGCGGCAGATCTCCCCACCTTTCAGATTTCGACACATGGTTAAATCTGCTCCAACTCTGTTCCCTCTATTCTTGGTGAATGCCTTGCAAAGCAAGACAACCCTCACAGCACCCAAGGTACCAGTGTTCCATAAATCCCCATCCAATAGCAGCTTTTTTCTGGACTCCCTCCAACCGGACTCCAGTACTACTGATGGATACCTATAGTGCTTTCCTTCCACTACTGGTGTAAAGGCCACATCAGGAGTTTTGACAGAGCCAGCAAATTTCCCTTCAAACTCCGTGCAGGCTATGAGTGAATTAGTACTGATCTTAAAGAATAGAGAAAGTGATAAGCATACTAGCTATATTGTCCAAAATTCTAGCAGTGTGTTCAGGGCGTAGAATTTGTTGTGCATACCACAGATTAAGACACTGCCGCAGCCATCCAGTTGGGCATTCATGCAAATGGGTTGGCATAATAACTTTGAGGTAACCCGTAGGGGAAAGGAATTGAACTCTGAAAAAAGTTAGGAGGCAAATATATAATGAGGGACTATCTTACCTGCAACCGGGCCAATAAAACTTGCTGGTTTTATCCGATAGTGAATCTAAAATTTGAGTTGACACTGCTGGTGTAAGGTCCGAGTGTTTGTTGATCAGGAACTCTCGGCTACCAGTTTGCATTGCTCGCTTTATAGCCCAGAGTATTTGCTCAGCCATGGTGTGCAGCTCCGGGTTCAGATCCAGGTAGAGCTCTGGGCACGGCTTTAGGGATGGCTTCCCGTGCGGGCAGGAGAGCGTTGTGACCGAAGTTGGATCAATGAGTACAGTATGGGGCTGGGCAAGGCAGTCTTAAGTACTTCTGAGTTGTGTTGAGTGAGGACTGAAGTTGGAATATCGGAGGACGGGCAGGGTTGACCGGAGCCTCACTGGGTTTCATAGAAAAGATAAAAAAAAACACACTAATTTCCCCTTGAGAATTCCAACCCTAGTAACATGTAATTGTCATACTAACCTGAACCGGTCCCAACTGATTCATGTTAGGTTTCACGGTATTAAACTATGGTAACTGTCACTTTTATTTTATTATATGGAAATCAATTCACAATCATTTACAATTTGCAACTTGAAGGCAATGGTAGGGACTAACTATACTACAATCAGTATTGTAGTTGTGTATCTGTTGCGATCGCTGCCTGGTAGCTAGACGCTTTCTCCTATATACTTGATATTTTGGAATTGGTGCCCCCTTGTAAACACATTCTCTATCTGTCTTATCTGCCAAGTGCACCTGCCATCGTCTATTTGAATGATATCATTGCCATGGATCCTTTATTTGTCATTTTTCTTTCACTAATGGCTCGGTTACCCATGCCCAGATATGGTCATCAGATGTGGGAAATTGTTAGCAGATGGAAGGGTCTAGATCTTGATTCCGGGGGCACCGTGAAGGCCTTGTTTCAGACCTATTTTGCAATTCCCCAAATAATCAGCCCCATACATGATCCATTGGAAACAAGAACAGTTATATTATCAGACGTAGTGTTCATGACCGGGTGGGGCGCGGTGGGTTTTGCCCTCACGGCCCCCACCTATCCATGGCCCCCAGGGGGTATTGTGTCGGTCTTCTCCCCCACCCCCGTCCGCGGCCCTACCCCGGTCATTCCCGGGATGGTGCCCCGTGTCTTCAAACCCAAATTTGGCGGGGGCAGTCTCTTACAGGGCCAAGGCAGGGACTCTGGCGGGTAGCCGGGCTACGGCAGCCTCCGGAAACCGCCTGCCTGGGGACGGCATGCCTGCCGGGGCAGGAAACGGGACCCAGGAGGCCCTGTAACAAACTCGAATCAGACTGGATTATGCAGCACTGCCTTTATAAAATTGATGGGATGATTACTGATTGATTGCTATCAATATCATCTAAAAATAGTGAGGCAAGACATCTATCCGTAATCATAGTTTTGGAAGGCACATGGTAAAGGGGGAACTACGAATCCCCATACCCACGGATAGTTCTTTTACTTAGGAACTCCTGTGTTGTTAGGGGAACCTGGTGCAGGTTTCAATTCTAGTTGATAATCCTGATACTAGTCCTGACTCATGCACCTCTTCGGAGACCTGGAATAGAGTGCCTGACACATATTGTTGACCTGTCATCTTACCTCATTTAACAGCTGAGATTCTTCTCGGGCAGGGTGACAGGCCTACACCTACTACCACCTACTACACATTCTAGATGCCAAGTTGCAATTCTTTCATTGGTGCAGAACACTAGTGCGTGATTCTACTTGATCATTTTGTATACTGATTATCATCTTCATAAACTCCTTGCTCAAGTGGTCTATACTCTCCTTCAAGATATATAGTCAGTGAAACCTGAGGGGGTGTCAGGGTATTTGGGAGTTACAGGAGCTTTCTTCACTACCCCCATAGTCAGCACTTTCTCTAGTATAATCACAGGCCCTCCATTCATCTATTATATAAAACAAGCTTTTCCAAAAAGTATATTCATATGACTATATATGCCAAGACATCCAAATTATGCCAAGAAAATATGTCAGCAAGGTAATATTAACTCTTAAACTCATACCACAATATATGTGTGAAATATATATATTCATTAAAGTTAACTATTACATACTTTAAAAGGTTGCCAACAATTTCTAATTCCATAGACTTAAAGGAAGGAATTGACAAAACTTAAGATTTAATTTCTAGCTATTTCTAGTTGTTCAAGTACATAATATTATCCTTTAAACAATTGTAACCTTGATTGAAACATATTCAATGTATGAAAAAGGTATTATTAAACTCAACTATTATACATAGCTACAAGGTACTTACAAAATCAAGTTCTATAGAGTTAAAAAGATGAATCAACTGAATATAATATTAAATTTCCTGCTATTCCTAATTGTTCAAGCCTATAATTTTACTCTTTAGACAATTGTAATCTTGATTGTAATATAAAGTAGGGTCTCTTACCCTGAGTCCTATTAACAAAAAGCAATCACTAAATACTAGGTTTGTTTACAGTTTTAAGGATACATTTAAGGCATATCACATATACTACAGTCTTTATTTTCTTGCAACTCTTTACAATCTCCACGCTCAATTTTGTATTATGATTTTTGATGTAGGGTTTAGGTATATTTGAATTCAAACTGAAAATACTAATTACTTATAATAAAGCAGTTATTGAATTATTACCAGGTATGGCTAATATAATATTTTTTCAACTCTTATTGAAAATAACTTATTTCAAAGCTAATGAGACATTTTAAAAGAGTAACTTTGATTTAAAAAAACCACTGTACTCATTGCCAGTACAGGTATTAGCTTTTTCATATAGTATTTGTTTTAAAGTTTTAGTGGTCTTTGATGAAGGCCAATTGCTGGACCAAAAATACCTGAAATCATGATATATATTTTGAACTTAAGGAAACATAAATTATCGTACTTTTGTATTTTTCCATATGTAACACCCCTTGAATTGCTCCTCTCCCAGTTAAGTATGGTGTTTTTAACTTATTTTTTCTTTCTTATAAAATCTCTTTGACCATCTCTCCTCTATGTCATCATTAACCTCTTCTCACTTCACTGTTTCTACTTACCACTTCTCTCTTAATATCTTTTTATCACATCTTTTTCACCTATTAACTAAAAGTAATTACTAAATACAAAGTTTGTTCACCATTTTGAAAATACATTTAAGACATATAATATATCTGTAGAGAATAATCTGCAAGATATTGATAATCTTACTAGTACAGAAAGATGAGACATTACCTTGACAGCATACTTATAGGCAAATTCCAAATATCTCTTTGCAAGAGATATACTCTATCAGGACTTTCCAACCTATTTTGTTTTTCTACAAAAAGAACAAGGATGAACTCCTTACAAATATGATACAACTATTAGGCAAATGTATTTCTGTAGTCCAGAGTGAGAGGAGATATTTTTCAAAAGGCTTCTGTTGCTTCATACAAAGAATATTACTAGCTTTAACTTCTTGAAAACAGTAAATAGTATACTCTATTGAAGCTTTCTCATAGCCTGTAATGGTAAAGGACTACTAGCATCAGATGATAAGTGGAAAGAGGTACTTGAGGATGGAGCTATGAGGCTAACCGAATTTCAACAACGTCTTCATTTTGCTGTTATCTTGACAGACTGCAATCTATCAGAACTAAAAGAATTGGGGGAAAGGTTTAAGTTACCAATTGTGGATGACTGTATACATCAATTGATTCACAAATAGGGTATTATAGATGCAATTATTGACTAAAGACTATCTCTGGATCAGAGTGTTATAGAGGGAATTATTCAACAAAGTGGCAAGTCACTTGAAGACTACAAAGTTACAAGTTCAAAACCAACTTATGAATTTCAGTTGGTTAATACAACTCAAAACTCAAACATTTACTATTATAATGGCCATGTCACAAACTATGACTAAGCAAGGCAGATTTCACATAGCTTGGACTTCCGAGCTATAGGTATGTTGGGATTTTACATGATGCACCTTGGTACACCATAGGTTAGTATGTTCACCTGTTCGTGACTCACAGTTGTAAGTCACACGATGTTATGATTTTCGCACATGACTCAAATTATGAGTCGTGGGTTTCACTCAGGTGACCCGAGTTGTGCAGCTGACTTAGTTATTATATTGGGATTGGTATATTGCGCAGCGACTCATAGGAGTGAGCTGAGCGATTTCGCAGGACTTATAGTTATGAGTCACAAGGTTCGCATGACGCATAAGTATGAATCACGCCAGGTAAAGAGCTACTATATAAAGAGACACTAAGACCCCTAGTATTAGCTCTTCACATGTTCTTCTTATTTATTTCCTACCTATAAGTTTATCAATAAAACCTACCTTTATACTCTTTAAGATTTATCTTAAGAAACCAAAGAATTGTCTTTCCTCCCAAGCGGGAAAACTATTTCTCCTTCCACGTCGAACGAAGAAGTCCAACATAAGGACTTGAGAAAGATAGAGGGATAGGCGCGATATGATAGAAGTCAAAGGACTTGACTAGCGACGTCGCGTAGGCATAGGCCTAAGAACTATTACCTCGCCGCCCAGCTAAGGATCATTACCTGTCACATTACTTACCCTTCGGACAGGATTCTTAATAATACTGCACTAAGGGAGACCGTGAGAGAAAGATTTAAAGAATAGGGACTTGAAGAGGTGTAACGACCCTACGATATAGAGCTATGGTAACCTACGTCGACGCCCATACAAAAGACCAAGAGGTTTGCTGGTAGACTAGGCGGGTATGCAGGCGCATGTCCGAGAGATATCCGATGGTCCGGAGATCTCTAAAAGGAACAGTAGGTACTTAAGGTTTAGTGTACCTAGGTAGTGGTAGTAACGTGACAATGTCCGCTCTGGCCTAAGGATAGGTCAGAAGGCCGGGTGAGCTTACCCTACCTAAGGAAGTCACATTACCCTACCTTGGAGACAGGTTTCGTGTCACCATGGACATACTGACCCTACCTTTGGGACACTATTACCCTACCTTCCGTCGGAAATGTTCTCGGAAGAATTCCGGGAAATGTTAGGATTGTTTGTTACGCAATGACGATCGACGGGCATTTGGTTGCACTGTGATCGGAAGGCTACGAAAGGAGCTAAAGTGCTCCGAATAAGCTGTAACTTGGTAGAACTATCCCTAACAGGTACCTGCGGCCCCAGGGTTCGCCCCGGGCGTCATGGGCCAAAATGGGTGGAGTTGCCGTTATGCTAGTTAAATGGAATCTATGAAGACATGTCCATAACACTGTATACGTCGTCGCCGTCCGTC